TTTAAATATATTTTTTTTTATTGATAGTTTATGATAATAAATTTAATTTATTATTTTTATAATTTTGTTAACTGTTTTACTTTTTTTTTACATATATTACTTATGTATTAAAATTATTAAAAATGGTTGTTGATAAAATCTTAATTAATGCAAACTAGGTAATGGTGATGGATATATTTATGGAAGTGGTGGCGTCATTAGCATAATAGTTTTTAGCAAAGATATTACTGATATAAACAATTTTGATATATACGTATCTATCGCTTATTACATACACAACACATCACAAGGAAGTAAGTTAATAAATTTTAATGTTACTTTAACAAACTTTCTAAATAATGTCTACGTTTTTTTAATATAGGAGACTTGTAATCATAAGTCTTTACTTTTACTTGTTTTTGTTTGGGGTTAGGGTCAGAGTTATGTTTTTAAATTAAATTATTTTAAATAATAATTTATAAATAAATAAGTAAATAATAAATAAGTAAATAAATAAGTTTCTATGTTTTCTGTAGTTTTTTTACTACTTAATTTACCAATTTCAAACCAGCTAATGCAACTCTACCAATTTAATTGTTTATTGTACATTTTAGATTATAATTTAATTTTTTTCCTACTGTTTATTTTCTGTTTGTAATAACATTTACAATCGTTTGAAATGGTAGAATATCCATAGAATTATTTTCTGCTTAACCTACCAAGTTAACTCAATCTTGCCCACAGAATAAATATATTGTCACTGAATGCATCTCGCCCGGGTGGGCGAGATGCATCTGCATTTAATCTCGCCCGGGTGGTCGAGAATAAATGCAGCATATTACCGAGCTTAAACCTTTCGCCGTTACCCCTATTACTTTTTGATTAAATTGCTATGAAATACATAAAAAATAGCTAAAATGCAAAATCATAAATTTTGTAAGGATACATATTAAGATTAAAATATTTCTGAATGCATACAAAGAAGTATACTTTATATGAATTTTTATTTTATATAGAAAAGAGGAAATTGTTTTATAAATTAAATAACCTTAATTCAACATTCTTGACATTAGCGTAAAATTGAACCCCAAATTTACTTGTTAATTGCTGTGACAAAAAATGATGATATTCACGTTAATGTATTTTTTGATTGCGTTTAAAACAATACGCTTTCTCTGTGTATTGTTATTAAGGAAACTAACTACTAAATTGCTAATTACATAACTATTGCACTGCGTTGAGCATTGAGTAATTATATAAAAAGTTCATATTTATCAAAACAAAATGAATTAGCTAGGAAAAGAACAAAAAAAATATCGCAAGTAAACTTTGTCTACTAATGCATTTTCTTTTTTTTATCAATAATGGTAAGAAAGAATTTAGAATTGATTTTTATATTTTAATCTTTTTTTACAATTGTTTTATTTATTTTCAATTTCAGAAATTTGTTTTAGTTATTAAAATAATTAAAACATTAGGTCCGAAACATTTAATGGTCCAAAAACTCATTTTATACATAATAAAAATTTTTTATTTCTTCTTCGATAGATTTTTGTGTTTACTTAGCTATATACTTATTCACTTCAGTGTAACTTATGTAGATTTTGGTTTCAAATAACAATATATGATTTTCACCACGTGTTAATATTTGTAGCTCTTGTAAATTTTGAGCACCTCATCAAATTTAATATGACATTCATACCACAGTTTAATTTATTTAGGTATCATTTTGAAAAAAAAACATGGTTAAAATAAGAGGTGGTTGATGTAGATCATTAGCAAGATTATATTAGATCTTAATTAGAAATATTGTTTCCATAATAAAGGCTGCAATATGTTATAATACAACTCATTTTTATGATGGTATAACTCTTTCAGCATCTGGTAGTAGTACTCTTGACATTTGTGAAATAAAATAGCTACCAACAATTGATATTTTTTCAACTTGTGTCATTAGTTCCAATTATTCTATTGATCAGCACTATTAAGAAACGGAGCAAATTCATAAAATGAAGTGAAGAAAATATGATAAGTGAAATAAGCTAGTCAGATCGGATCCATCCTTTTTAGTGCGTAAGGCAGCAATATTTTACAATGCCACATTCACAAATGAGAGAAAGATTCTCTGGAAGAATTGATATTGCAGCAAACCCGGGAAAAAAATCTACCCTTATTTTTGTTTTGGAGGAAAAAACTTACCATTTATCCCAGCAACAAAGCAAAGTTAGGGGTAGGTTTCGGAAAGTGACAGTTCCTGAATTATATAAGAAAATTTGCCAAGAAGCATAAATTCAACTTCTAAAAAGGAATTACAAGCAAACAGTGGTAAATCAGTATGGGCGAGTGAAAATCGAGAGTCAATCACTGTTTTTGCACTTAGTAATGCACAGGGCAAGTTCTTTTTACCTCAGATTACAGTGAATGGAAAGACATTCAGCCAGTTTATTTAGGGGTCTTAACACTTCCGGAAACAAATTGGAGCTGGTTCGATAATGATTGGACTACCCAGAGCCTAGCTAAACTATGGTTTCCCAAGACATTTTTAGGAAGCAATGATCCCCATTGTCCTTAGATATTGATTTTGAATGGATACAACTCTCACAACTTTTTAGAGCTAATTGATATTGATATCTAGAACCAGATACATATAGTTAAAATGCTTTTTAAATTTATCACACTGCCTTCAACCATGCAACCGCATTATGTTCCAACCACTGAAGGATTATTATCGCTCTACAGCACAAAATTTGATGGATCAGTTTCCAGGAATTATTACTTGGCGTTTTAATTTGAAGGGATATTTGCTCCAGTTTGGGAAAAAGAAATGACTTCTAGCAACATTACAACTGGATTCAAGTTATGTGAATTTTATTCATTTAATCCTTAGGCTATTCCTAGTGATGCGTATTTGCCAAACTTTTTACACCCAGTTGAAGATATATCAGCTAATACAACCGTTGATGATATTTTAATACCTGGTGTTGAATGATTAAATCATAAAAAACGTTTCACGCAATGCTTTGGTGAATCATTATTTGGCAGTTATGAGAATGAAAATCTGAATGTATATGAGAAAGCTGCAAAAAGTGGACTTCTTATTAATGGTTATAATGTCATAAATCTGACTACATCATAATGCTCACAAATAATGGAAACTAAAATTTGAAAAAACGGGTTTGTGACCTGGTGTGCAGTAAAACGTTTAGATTTTAACAATATGTCCAAAAATATATCTGAAAATCAAGCAAATCAAAATCAAGCATTAGCAAAAGAAACAGAAGTTACAAAAAACAATTGATTTTCGGTTTGTATTTTACTATTGTGTTTTGCTAGTACTACTATAAAATAAAAAATAATATTTAAACTTTAACCAGTAACTGTGACTAATATTTTAAGTACAAATTAAGTATAAAGATTTTGAATAAAGTATAAACTTAATAACTTGTATTTCAGTAGTATTATTCATTATTCTCTTAGAAATTCCAATAATCAATTGTTCAAGACATTATTTTTTTAGACTTTGATGCTTATATGAATGCTGAAAAAGTTGCTAATCATCCAGAACAACTACAAAATGATACTAAAGAAGATAACTCAATATTCAAGTTGTTACAAAGAATCGCTTCTATTTTGGAAGCAGAAACTGTTGTTCATGATAAGCAGCCTGCATATTCGGTCAATCCAATTGAAGAAAAAAATGTTGACTTCATTGGAAATAGTTTTTTCCAATCTTACTAACCAAAAAGAAAAAGAAATCATAGAACCACAAAACTATAATTCTACGACGTACAAAACTATAATTCTACTTTAGATTTTCCTTTTGCAAACACTTCCTTACTTGGTAAGTCATTTTACGAAGTGATCAATAGTTTCATAGCAACAATCCAAGATTTAGTTTTAAAAAAAACTCAAATTTTTTAAAATTATTTAAATATTTGTACATTTATTGATTATAAGTTTTTATCAATGCAAGTGATAGAAATAATTATGGTTTGGCATATCCTAAGTTAACCGCGCAGAAAATAATAACAAATAGAAAAAGTTAGCTTAAATACTTCGTTTTAACTTTTTAAGAAACATACGCAGCGAAGCTGAAATATCACCAAGACAAAGTCCAACAGAAAAGAGAATAACGCTAAAGAAAACAAATGCAACTTATCAGCGTCAATTTCGTTCTCTCTATGGACTGGCACTTTCTTGAGAAATTTTTTCTCAATTGTTGTTTAAAGTACAAACTCGAACTCATCCTTTTCTTTGTTTACTTGTGTTATTCAGCTCAAGGTTCATGATTGAATGATGAATGTTTAAAGATGAATGATTATCACATATGATGAATGTTTAAAGATGAATGATTATCACATATGATGAATGTTTAAAGATGAATGATTATCACATATTGAATTTAATGCATCAAAAATAACATTTTATTTTTGATTGATAAAATATTATCAACAATATTTTATTTCAGTCTTATTTTTACTTATCATATTTTCACACTTCATTTTAGGAACTTTTATTAAAAGTTATTTATCAAAACCATTTACGTCTTTGCGAAATATTCTTTGATGACCTACCATCGTTTAGTAGAAGCAGCAAAAAACGAGTGCATTACTTGAAAGAATTTTAAAAAGATTCTTAATTTGTTGCAGTTGTTGTTTACTGCTCTACTATAATATGAAAGAATAAATGGATGGACAAAGAAGAGGGCATAAATTATCCTTGTCACCAAGCCCCATTAAAACGTTTAGATCTCTGCATTATATAGGAAACTTCAAAAAATGGCATTTAAAAAAATTGTAAAAAATTAAAAGTTACAGCAATTCTATGATGTTAAAAAGCAAAAAAATTATAAACTAAAAAGTAAAAAAATAACAACAGTAATAACTACAATAAAACAATAAAAATGGCCAAGTGTCCAACTTTAGGTTGTATACAGATCGTAGTTCGAAACAAAAGTTAATAAAATTAAAAATTGCAAAAAAACAGCAACAATAAGTTCCTCTTTCTCGGGAACAGAATTATTCAGCTCGTCTAATAAACTTTAACCCTTTAAGACAAAACGTCATAATAATACCGAGGGACTTTTGATGCGTTAAGCACCACCCCCATAAAGTACGCATTTAGATAATGTGTTACTTATAATGTTTGTAACACCTTTAAATTAGTCGTTCAGTCTTTAAAACTCAATTTCACGATTATAGAATGTTCTATGAAACTAATAAACAAAACTTGCATTTATAAAAGTAGAAAATATGACTGCTAAACGAAGTTTAATTTCTGTCCAAGTTTTTGTAAATATTTTGTAAATTTTGTT